CTTCCATCCAAAAGATAGATCCCAACAAATTTACTTTTCTCTTAAAGTCCTAACCCTCGTTTTCCTCCAGAGCTTCTTCAATGGTCTCCCCATTGGCAATTTCTTCCTCGCTGCTGTCAGAAACGCTTGCTCTGAGGTTGTGTCTTGCTGTGGGGCCTCGTTCCGCATTGCAGCATGTTCTCACCTTGGCCGCCTGCTTCTTGGGAGGCTGCATCACCTCAAGGGAGGGATCGTTATTGCCCAAATGCTGCTTGTTTGGACATTTCCTTAGGTGCTTGATGTTCTTTCCAAGAAAGCAGGGCATATAGACAAAGGGGTCTGCTAGCAAGAAACGAGACCACTGCTTGCGTAATTCAGCCTTTACCTGGGGGGGGGGGGGAAAGGAAAAAAGTTGACAGGATTATAACAGCCGTTTCCAAGTGGGAATCTTCTAAATAAGAACTGTGGTGGTGCAGTGATTAGAATGCAGTATTGCAGGCTAATTCTGTCGACTGCCAGCAGTTCAATCCTGACTAGCTCAAAGTTCACTCAGTCTTCCATCCTTCTGAGGTTGGTAAAATGAGGACCCAGATTGTTGGAGGCAATATACTGACTCTGTAAACCACTCAGAGAGGGCTGTAAAGCACTGTTAAGCATTTAGATATAAATATTAATGCTATTGCCAACACAATATAGTTATTATATAGCATGGCTATATATTAACAGAGTTGGAAGAGGCCTTGCAGGTCATCTAGTCCAACTACCTCCCCAAGCAGGAGACCCTACATCTGCCTCTACTTAGGATCAAACTCACAACTTCCTACTTGTGAGGCGAGAACTCCACCTCTACTGAATGACTGATTTCTGTCCCTCTACAATCAAATGTATGTACATCCACCAGATTAAATAATGTCATATTCATCTGAGTTCATCGGCTAGTCATATTTTTATTTTGCCTCAGTAATTCTGCATGACAAGTAAAAGGCATCTAACCAGTTAATGTGGAAATGGGAATAGTAAAGCATTCCCTCCCAACACTCCCAATATCACTACAATCCATTTTACACCATTTTGCAAAGGGGCATGAAAAATCACTGAAAAACAAAACTTGAATCTGCTCTCTCAACTTGGATTACGTCTGCTTTTCTCTACTAGAGAAATGGGCAGCCCAAACCCTCTCTCCATAAACAGAGGCCCTCCCAGGAAGGCTATTGGCTTATTGAGTAGTATGACAGATTGTGCATGCTTCTCACAAGTTCATCTGTTCGCAAGTAGGTGGCCAACTTGCTGGGTCAAGCCAGGTCTTTTCAACTATTACAAGTAATATGATGGAAAAATTAATAATTCTTTAATCAATTTTTCCATAACTGAATGATCATCAAAGAACTATAAGCCAGGGTGTTCTGAGCAACTGGGATTGGGATGCAGGGCTGAACAATGAGAAATGAAAAAGATGATGTACCTCGCCATTATAAAAGCAATATAAAAGTGCTACGAGAAAACCCTGGAAGAAAAAGAGAAAGTCAATTAGATTTGAGGAACAAATGACAAAGTACCATTTGACTTGGAATTTATCTAATCAGAGAAAACTTTTACAAAAACTACCTGAAATATGAGCCATCATGATGGCAAATTGAACATAAATGCAACTATCTTCCTCTTGCTCAAGAATCGTTTTTGCCTCTTAACGATCATAAAAGTTTCGACCTGTATCCTTCCTGAATAATCTGCTTAATTTTACATTGAACATTTTGCTGGAGGAAACATCTGGCTTGCTATTTTAAACCACTATGGTTGGTTACAATATAATATATCATTTCTCCCTAATCAGACTTTTTTAACCTTATACTGTGCAGGAAAACTTGCAATCTAAAGTTTAGGGCACATTATATTTATGCCTGTTGAATTACATCTTTCTAGATTCTAGAATGTGGTTGTGGAATTTTGAAAGGTGAGCATTAAATTTAAAATGTTTTCCAAAAGATCAGTTTATTCTACTCCCCCACTTATTATGCATGTTTTAAAATTATATTTTCAGAACTATCCATATTGGACTGATATAAATCTAATATTGTTATATAAATATAGACTAAGCCAAATACTGCACATGTGATTTTTCTTCACAAGTTTTTTATTCTTTTTTGGTAGCAATGACAAACTAGGTTTACTTTTTGTTGTTGTTTTTTTGTCTGCTAAGTAACAAAAATTCAGTTTATTGAAGGCATTGCTAATTGAGGAATTATTATTATACATATTAGCCAAATCTGTTCCTCTGACTTATAAGAAAAGATAGAAAATTTGAATTTGGCAGTCACTTGAAGATTGTTTCAAAAACCTCTAACAAATAATTGAAGTGACAATACTGAAAAATCATGTTAAGTTTGCAAAGAATTCTAGACAAATAATTTAACGAGATGCTGGTATTTTAAAGATTATGCTAGATATTGTTTATTCAGTAGTAAAAGTTTAATGTTTGCCTCAAATCCTATTTTAAAAATCTGTATTAAATTATATTTTAAATCTTTTTTATTATGCATCATTTATTAATGAGCTGTGATAATGGTTTTTGATTATTATTTTTCCACATCTGTATTCTGTAAAGTTGATATTAAATTTGTTTAACCCACTTCCATCACACTTCCCAAACTTACATGGAAAGAGCCAATGGTTAGCTGGATGAAGGTTTTGACATTCCTGGAGAATCCTTCAACATGATCATCCATGATGAAACTAAAAATAATCTCATGAATTCCAAGTAAAGGTATTAATACAAGGGTTGACCTCGCCAACCTTAAAATAAAAACAATCACCAACGTGAATTAAATTCTTGAAATAAAACTCAACAAGAAACACATAATTGAATGATAACAGTCAATTCCTTGAGACATTGATTTGGGATTAATATTAGATTGGAATTAATATTAGTGATAATTCCATAATAAGACTGCAACCCTGTGATTCTTGGAACAATGTCTGAGTAACTTTAGAACCAATTGTTTCTCCCTTTCAAGGTGACAGGGCCTTCGTTGGTCAATCTTACCTGGGAAAAGACCCGAATACAACAAGACCAGCATATATATATATATATATATATATATATATATATATATATATATA